TCATTTTTTTTCTGAAACATACAGAAACCAACTTCACAGCATATAGTTTGTTGGATGAGGCGATACAGATAAAAGGGAAGTTAATTCTATCACAAATTCAACAGTCATATTTGCCCCATATTCCTTGTCATGCTCTGGATGATCGCTTAGAAGAGAGCACAGACATGGGTTTACAGATTCAAGCAACAATGAAGAGAGTCGTCCCCCCAGAGACATGTAAGAGGAAACATAGCTATATGTATCTTAGACTCCTATGTCAGTGTCTCATAAAATCTGGATACTGGACTTGTATATAGAAACATCATATGTACAAACTATGATTTTAAGTGCATTAGCAGACAACAAGATAGTAATAGTCTGTCAAATTTGTAATTCTCGACTTCTCATAAGAAGGAAGAGTTATTGCATGACAGAATGAATTGTAAAATTCTCATAGATTTCAAAACTGGCAAGTTAAAATGTTACTTAGAATAATTTCAGTTACTCTTTCTTTAAAATATTTTTCGAGTGCTGCACATAAAAACTAAAGTAATTCACTACAGAAAGAGTTGAATGATTCATGAATTAATAATAGCAGCGTCTAAGACCAGTCTTTGTGATTCATCTGACATTTAGCTTGGTAAACAGCATATTTTGCATTCCATAATTGTAAACAAAGGAGCTAACAAAAGTAAAAGGTATTATATGTTACTTATGGTTTACAGTATGGCTAAAATTAATTTTTCAAAGTACTGATTATTAAAAAACTTATAAAGAGAAAGGGAAGTGCTTTTTACTATGTTCAAAATAGTTCATGATGACAATGAGATCCCTCACAGTATTCCTTTATTTCACTATTCACTTGAATTGACTGTTCAGATAAGGCCAACGCCAATAACAATGATGGTGATGATTACACAGATCTCCTTTATGCTAATAAAACCCTGAGATAAAAGAGTCAATGCAGTTAAACTAGGTCACACAATAAACCAATATAAGATTCAAAAATGTACTTTCCATTTGATGAGTCTTAAGAATTTTTAAATCTACGGTTTTACCTTTCTATATTCTCTCTCATGTAAAGCTTTATAATACAAGGAGGATTTTGCCCTAGCATTCATAAACGGTAGCAGGGTCAGGCGTTTCACACAGCAGTTGTTTCTTGAGATGCTTCCATCCCATATTAGAGTCCCTTGGTTTCATTGCAAGATCAGCCTTTACTCCAGATTCCTGCTCATTTACACACTGGGAAGTCATTTTATAGCTCAAGCACTTGGTTGGATCTTGCCATCTCTTGGAAGACCTGGACTGAAGCCTTCCTGGCTGCTTGATTTGACCTGTCCTAACCCTGGCTACTGTGGGCATTTGGGAAGCGAATCAATGGACAAAAGAGCTTGCTTTTTCTCTCTCTCTGTCTCTCTCTCCCTTCCACCACCCATCCCTCAAATAAAAGAAAGATTATTACAAAAAATATGCAATTTTAAAATATACTGGAAGATCAAGTGCCCAGAAGAAAAAGATAATATCAATCCTTAATCTCCATACCTGTGACTAAATTTCTCTTTGGTAAGAGTATGGGAGAGGCTAATAGCACTTATACTTGTTCTGGAGAAATTCCACTTGATTAGATAGTGGAACTGTGGAACTGCAAAGAAAGATGCCATACATATTTTGAATAAAAAGAGGGGGGGAAAGCTTGAGAAGGAAAATAAGGCCATCTGAGGCTGATTCTGAAACCATTCAGTTTCCTTTAGTTCAAATTACTCAGCATGCCCAGTGCCATAATCTGCACATCATTTTTGAGCTTTGTGTCCTGTTAGAAAATAATTTGATCAAGATAAAGAAAGAATTGGACCTTACTTCATCTTTTTTATCAATAGTTAACACTGTAAGATTCAACTCTGCCCCCATGAGAAAGAGATATCTTTCCACTTCAAATATCCTGGAAATGATGTAAAATATGAAACAATGGTGTTAAGACAGTGGGCAACTTCTAGCAATGTGAAGTGAAATCTACAGTTTGTTCAGGTTACTGCTTCAAGTGTTTCTAGGCACAGTACAGAAAGAAACAAGCAGCTCTCATAAATTATGAAAGCAAAGCTTAGAGTCCTAATAGGAAGTTTCCTAGAATGAGTCAGAAAATACCCAAGAGAAAACATCTAAAGAAAGAAGGATTCCATGATCTACAAAAGAGTGCCCTCCAGCACTTGTCTTAGTGCTATTTTATGCACATGTGTAGAAATGACCCAAAGTCAGGGGAAGATAAGCAAATAGCAAAAGTCACAGTTCAAATAGTGGAACACACACATTTGAGAACCCATGATCCTACCAGTTAAAATGAAAAGAATCCCAATAATAACAAGACGTCACTGGAGGAGCCCTCAGAACCATCTCTCCTTATCACTGAGAGCAAAATAACACTACACTAAGGGCTAATACAGACCAATTCTCATAAAGATAATCCTGGAACTAGATAACAACTTAACAAGCATTCATGAAAACAAGAAAATCTGGTGTGATTCCAACTTACTGAATAGGGAAAAGAGTACTAATTTTAACCAGGAGAAAATCATAAAAGAAAGTCAGAGACATTTGTATTGAAAATTTTACACACACAAAAAAAAAGATTCCATGGAGCAGTATGGACAGCACAAACATATAGCAGCAAGATCGGATGCCGCCAGACCCACTGACTCCTCCAGCTGAGGGCTAGAAATAACATGAGCCTCTGACAATGAAGCGAAAGCAGACTGCAGAAGCTGGTATTCCTGGTGATACTTGCTGAGGGAGACTCTTGCAGATCACACTGACCCTGACTCTGACCTGGAGCCCTGATAGGCTCCATAATCCCATGAGGGAAAAACACATTTATTTCTCCCCATCCCTCTACAAAGGTGCCCGATGTCCAGCAAGGAGAAAGTATCATCTTAAGCCCAGCAGAGGCTGTGCTGGCTCCTGTTTACCATTAGGGGATTGTATCAGAGGAATGAATCCTCATTCTGACTTTGATTCAGGCCTGGAGAATGGGCAGGGGGCTAGGCACCAACTTCTTACTTCGAAGCACTCCTTTTACCTCACCCTATCACAGGCTCTGGGGCTCAACTGGCCAAGATGAAGTACTCACAGACAATTATCTCTGGGGATGCTTACAGACCCCAAACAACTAAAGCAATCTTCAGCAACAAAATACAAAAGTGAAGGACTCACATAGCAAACATACTTCACGGTGGTTATAATCGAAATAGCTTGATTTTGGCACAAAAATAGGCATGTATACTACAGGGACAGAACCCAAACCCCCGAAACTGACCCATACATCTATAGCCAGCTTATCTTCAACAAACAAGCAGAAATCAATCCCTGAAGTAAAGTCTTCAACAAATGGAGCTGTGAAAACTGAATATGGATGTGCAGAACTATGAAACAAAAGCCCTATGTTACACCTTGCAAAAATTCACTGAAAATGGATCAAGGGTCTTAATTTATGACCTGATGCCATGAAATTATTAGAGAAATACACCAGGGAAACTCTGCAAGACACTGGCATAGGCAAAAAATTCTTAGGAAAGACTACAGATGCACAGGCAATAAATAATCTAAAAAGCTTCTGCCCCACAAAGAAATACTAAAAAAGTGAACAAGGAATCAGTAGGATGGGGAAAAATATATATAAACACCACATTTTCATGTATATATATATATATACACACCATATGTATATATTATATATATTATATTTTGTATAAGTAATATATATGTGTTTAAATATATACTTTGCCATAAATGAATGAAATTCTGTCTTTTGCAACAAATGGTAACAACTGGAAACCACCATGCTTAGTGAAAAAGCTAGTATCAAAAGATGAATATCATGATCTTTTTCTGATATGCAGCAATTAGTAGAAAATACAAAAACAAGTTTAAGAATGAAATGGTCATTTTGGGATATGATGGACTTTTAGCCCTTGTTTATATTCACATGGAACTGTGTTCTTCTTACTTTTTAATTGATGTTATGATTAATGAACAAGTAAGCCTATGAATATGGAATAGATTAAAATTAAGTTATCGCAAAAAAGATGAAGAGAAGGAGAGAAGGGAATTGTAGGAAGCAGGGAAGTTAGGGATGTGTGGTTGTCTTCTGGGAACTTTACCTCTAGAATGAATAAAATATGTTCTTTATATTAATAAATTGAAAAAACATAACATATAGGGCCCATAACCAGGGGAAAATTCATCAAAGGATTCTGATGAATTCTGATGAATCCCTTGAAGCCAATGCTAAAACAGAAGACAAGTTAGTAAAATCAGCTGTTACAAATACACCAAAAAAATAGAGTGACACACAGTTATGAGAAGAAAGGACAAAAATATCCATAAAATTAAACATTTTGAAATTAAAAATATAAAGAATGGAAAGAAAAATATACTGCATAGAGTTGGCAACATATTGGACATTGTAGTATGTGGTTAGCAAAATTGAAGACTTCCAAAATAAAATACAAGGAAATGATACAACCTGAAGCATGAGACACAAATATCTATTAACTATCTAAATAAAATGCTGAGGTAAATAATTATATTCAAGAAAGCATTTGTAATCTGTGAGATATTAAGCATAAATTAAATGTCTTACTACTAGCATACATGAGGAAAAGAGTAGACAAAATAAACTATTGGGGACCAACACTGTAGCATAGGTTAGGTTGATTCTTGCAGTGCCAGTATCCTATATGGGCTTTGGTTCACGTCCCAGTCACTCTTCTTCCAATTTAACTCACCTCTCAGCTGGGAAGGTGCCCAAATGGAGTCCCTGGCTGCTGGCTACAGCCTGGCTTAGCCCTGGCCTGTTCAGCCATTTGGGAAATGAGGCAGCAAATGAAGAATGATCTCTGTCTCTCTCTCTTTCTCTCTCTCTCTGCGTCCCTTTCTCCCCTTCCTCCCCCCTCCCTCCCTCTCTCTTCCCAGGGTTCCTCCATCAATTTAATTCTGCTTTCCAAATAAATAAAGAATCTATTTTTAAAATTATTAAATGCTTCACAAATCTGTGTGGTATCCTGCCATAGGGGCCATGCTAACATCTGTACCATTCCAATGCTAGTATATGTGCTACCAAAGTGAGCACTAAATAAATATTAAAAAAAAACACACACACACACAACACGGGTAGTGAAAACCAAAAGAAACAAATGGAACTACATTAAGTTGAGAAGTATCGTACAGCAAACAGTGAACAAAGTGAACAGGGAAAGAGTGTGCATGTCAGTATGGACAGTAAATAGGCTTCAAGAATGGACACACCCTATGACCCAACCATCTCACTACTGGGAACATAGCCAAGTAAAATGAAACCTATGTGTGAGAGAATGATTTGCAACCCTATATTTACAGCAGCACAATTCACAATAGCAAAGATGTGGAGACAATCCAGATCTCTGTTAACAGATAAATGGAGAAATAAACTGATCAGTTTGCTCTATGAAATACTACCAAGCCATTTAAAAAAAAGAACGAAATCTATCAATTGCAGCAAATTGTTCTCACCTGAAAATCACCTTGCTTACTGAAACCAGCCAGTCCCAAAAGGATAAATACCAAATGTTCTCTCTGATACAAGACAGCCTTTAGGCAAATTACAAATTAAACAGATACAGGTAATCAAGTATATACATACACTTTGACAGATGAATGGCATAACAGAAGTACACTTGGAAGAAAAGTTATATATCTCTACTCTGGAAAAGAAGTAGGACTCCCATTTTGAAACATGTAAGTATATCTGTACAACATAAAATATTTTCTACCTCTACCCCAATCTAACACTTAAATACCAGAAAGTTAATCTTAACAACTGTTACTAGGAGACTATAGTACTGTGATTTGGGGGAAGCGCAAGGTCAGGAATGGCAAAGGAGGAAAGTGGGGGGAAATAATTCCCCATATCTTCAAAACTATTGATACACTTAAATACCAGAAAGTTAATCTTACAACTGTTACTAGGAGACTATAGTACTGTGATAGTTTGGGGGAATAGCAAGGTCAGGAATGACAAAGGAGGAAAGTGGGGGGGAAATAATTCCCCATATCTTCAAAATCATAAATAAGATAAATACAATAAGTAAATAAATAAATAAAAGCCAAATTTTGTCATGATGGTTGTCTAAAAGAAAACTATAAAGTTAGAGAAACCCTAAGCATAAAAACAAAGAGAAACACAAGGTTCATCAACATGAGGATCATAAAATTGTTGAAAAAAAAAACAAATAAAAGGGAAATCTTAAAAGCTGCCAATTGAGATTTGGAAAATATACTACACAGAGAATAAAAATATCAATAAAACTCTTATCACAAAATTTTGAACTATGAAGAATAATAAAAAAGATCACAAAAGTCTTGAAAATACAAAATAACTAGCAGTATTGAATTAACAGAAATTTTTAAAAAACAGGCAAAAATAAAGAAAATTCTCTAGAGAAAAAGAAAAATGATACTAGAAAATTTCTGTATCAACTACAACAAATAAATATTATGAGAAATTATTATTATATAGTATAAATGGCATTATTTTCATCATTTAAAATATTTTTAAAGCATTGACTGAAATAAAAACAAATACATTGACATTTTAAAAATCTAAGAAAAGAATGAAAACTTGGACGATGCCAAAGGAAACAAAGTGAAATTATAAGTTCAAATCCCATAATAATCATAAATTGAATATGCATACAAGTCACAGCTTTAAAGGGCAGAAAATCTTAAGCTTGATATAAAACAAAATCTGTTTATATGCTACCTGAAGTACAATAATGCAAGATAGAACACAAATTAATGTAGAAGAATGAAAAAGTCTATATCCAACAAACATTTTCAAAAGCTTGAGTTCATATATTATTATCACATAATGTGTATTTCTGGACAAGAAAAATTAACACGAAGGAAAATATTTTATAATGATAAAAGTATCATTATAACAGGAAAACAATAATATGCAATGCTAAACTACACAAAGTATCTTTGGTAAAACTGAAAGTGAAAACAACGTCTACAAATAGAGCTGAAGATTTCAACATCATTGTGTCAAAAACTCTTGAGGAAAACAGAAACTTATTAATGATACGGAAGTCTTGATTAACACTGCAAAACAGCCTGATCCCCTGGTTCAGGACAGAACACTAGGGGTGGGAGGTGATGAGTAAAGGTGTATCAATGTACTAAATTACAACTTAGGAGCAGCAACTATTCTCTTACAGTTAGAGTAACTCTAGATGATGAGGTAATAGACATTTTTTTTTTAATTTTATAGAAATTTTTGAAACTTTTTACCACAAAGCAATCCCAGATTTTTGAAGGATTGCAGGTGTTTAACTGGGTTGAACATTAGAATATTTCAAAAATATAGACATGTATCAAGTCATCACATGCAATGTAGTAAATATGTCCATTTTTGTGCCAAAACATAGAAAACAAGTTTAAGAAAATGCAAATATAACATATAGAAAATTCTACCAACTATACAACCTCAAGGCTTCACCTGAAAGTTCACCTAAATTGTTTATGCTTCTCGTATTTAAAGTTCTCCTCTTTCCTTGTTCTTCTCTTGAGCTGAAAATATTAATATTGCATATAGCACATCACCATATGAGTAAAATTCTGACTGGATACATACTCTAAACTCCTAAAATGTCTGAATATTTGCATGTTTGTTAAGGATATTCCTATTATTTACCAGTTCATCTTTCTATGGGAATATAAAATAAGAAAGCTAAATAAATCTAAGCTAAATGGTCAATTAATTGATCTTTTAAAAAGAACTTATAGTTCATAAGTCTTCAAGTTACCAACTGTTGATAGCTTAAGCATATGTGGTCTTTTAATCTTGCACATTAATAGTGATACTAAAAAAATAAATATTAGCAAGAGATGGGTATAATCATCTTGGTTATTACATAGAAAAATATTCAACATTATTCATTAGAAAAATGCATATTCAAATGACAATGAGATATTACAAAAATTTAGAATGGCTAAAATAGAAAAATGGTGATGATAACAAAATGGTGAAGCCTTGCAGAAATATAAAATGATATGCACTTTGGAAAATAATGTGGTAGATTTTCAAAAAACTATACATGCACTTACTTTAAAATCCAGAAATGGTAAACTTGAATAAAAAAAAAATGTATCCAAGCACTAGAAAATGAGGAACTTGAGGTGGAAAATTCAAATAATCTTTGTTGAGTGAATGGTCAAATGCTCAGAGCTATGTGCATACAATACCAGAGTATTCAGCAATATGAAATAATGAAGTATTCACATACACAGCAGCTTACGTTGCTAGCAAAGGAATCATGCTGAAGTCAAGGATCAAGGCAGAAAAGCAGGTAAGCGTGATTATAAAATGGCAGCACAAGTATATTACTGACACTGCTCTGGATAAAATATTACAAAATTAAATGCCATCCCCTCACACGCTGGCTAACTTACTCTAGTAACACTTAAAAACAGAAATAAGAAATTTAAGATCACTCTCCTTACATTTTTATATACACAGTCTCTTCCCAAACAGTAGAGCTAATTGGCCTCAGTCAAGCTTACCAGTTAGAAAGAATTAAAGAGATGGATAGATTTTCCTCTGGGAGATATGCATTTCCCTGAAACTGTTTTTAAATCTTTGTAAGTTATGCATTTTCAACCAATACTTTATTGATCACCAGTTTTCCTCAATCCTCCTACAAGCTTAGGGATTTTATCCATGTTCCTAGACCCTGCCTTATTTCATGCTTTTACAGAAAAGAATTCAAACAACTTACCCTCTGCAGTACATTTTCTTAGCCCAGATTTAATTACTTACGTCCCTGACTTCCAAATTTAGTTTAAGAACTAAAGTCTGGCCCAGCACAGTGGTCTGGCAGTGAAAGTCCTAATATTAAACATGCTGGGATCACATATGGGTGTCCATTCTTATCCCAGCAGCCCCACTTCCCATCCAGCTCCCTGCTTGTGCCTGGGAAAGCAGCCCAGGATGGCCCAAAGCCTTGAAACCCTGTACCCGAGTGGGAGACCTGGAGGAAGTTCCTGGATCCTGACTTCAGATCAGTACAGCACCAGCCGTTGGGGTCACTTGGAAAATGAATCATCAGAGGAAAAATCTTCCTCTCTGTCTCTGTGTATCTGACTTTGTAATAAAAATAAATAAATCTTAAAAAAAATGAACAATTACTTATTTTTTACACTTGACTGAATATTACATTGTGTTGATCCATACTGCCCAAAGTTGTAATTGATTTTTCCTGGTTATTGCAATATCAGATGAATTAACAATTCACTCTGAAACCAAAAGGGCTTAAAAGAGAAACTTCAGCATAACTACAAACAATACTTCTGAACAACCTCCTGGCAAATACAATGTTCCCAATGGTGTCTTTCTGAAAACTGCTGATAAATATCACAGATGCTGAATTGATCTACATTTGGCCAAAATAGTGAACTGAAGGCAAACTGACAAAAAACAAAATAGCCCTGATTGTGGACAAGTGGTTACTGTTTCACAAACAAGTGTATCAATAGGCTTTCTTGTTTATTATAAATTAAGAAAAAATCAATGAAACAAAACCAAATGCAAGGACGTAATGCAATAATAAAAATTATAAATATCTTCTGATTTGGCCAAATAACTGACCAAAGCTTACTAAGCTGGGATAATTCTAATACCACTTTTAAATCCTCCTCCTCCTATAATAAAAATTTTATAATAGAGTTACCAATTGGCCATCACTTCATGACAATTTTAGTTCCAAAGAGACTATCTTTCCTTACGCTCTCAAAAATACCTAGAATGAGCCAAAATGCTTTAACATGCCAGGCTATCCTTACTACGCCTGTGATTCCCCGTGTATGCAGTCATTTCTGCCATAACAAGTTAATAAATCAACTTTGTTGACTCACGGTGTGTTCCTGACAATTTTTTTTAGGTTCTATCAACTTTACACCCAGCAGGAAAGCTTCACGCTATGCCGATCACAAATATTGATGAGACTATAAAGTAAATAGCATTTTAGTGGTTTGTGGATATGGATATAAATTGGTGCAACCACTTTGAAAAACACTTCAGCAGTATCTATGTAA